CACCCATAAAAATATGAACCAGGGCATTGAGCAAGGCCAAGGGCGTGACACAAAATTTGCTTTGTTTCCTTAGTTATAGTGTAAAACTACAATACCTGTTACATTCCCTAATTTCTCATGAGTTCATATTTTTGATGGGTTGGAATGAGGTAAAAGAGAGAGAGAAGGGATATGCCCTGAAGACCTGTGCTTGAGTTTCCTCCACCCTGAGTGTCTGGGGTGGATGGTGATGGACTGGACCCCTATGAGGAGCCCGCTGGTGCAATGAAGAGGCCCTGGGCCACCCTCTGCAGGTGGGGTGTAGGAAGTTTCTCAAACCTAAAGCGATTATTGCCTCTGGCGTTTCCTTATAACCAAATGGAAGAGAATAACGTGTATAAATTTATTCTCAGAACCTCCCCCAAACTGCACACATTCATGAAACAGAGATGTTCCCTCCGATGCCAGGTCCCATTAGAGAGACAGATTTTTCTTTTGACAAAGCTCGAAACTGTTTTGTATTTCACAGTCAGAAAAGCATGGATCCAGCAAACTCTTTTATGCAGCAAGTGTCATTAAAGATGACATTTATGTGCAAAATTATTTCCTATCATTGTGATTTCCTACAGCATTAGGGACAGGCCTGACACATGTAACTGCAGACCTTTGCCATGGACTCTCTTCCTTGTCCCCTGGCTCTGTCTGGGGACCACACAATGTAGTTTTAAAGGCCACTTTGATTATTACGAGGGAAACTTTTTACCATCCAGATTTCTTTGATCTTGATACAAATAAAATCAACCTCCTTTTCAAATTGTCATTTATCCCACTTGTGTATAGTCTTGACATGGCTGAATTGAACTCAGAATTCTCTTACTAGAACTTCTGCCTGTGTTTTTAATTTTATTCTACTATATTCCTATCATCCAATTCCAAAAGTTTAACCTGTTCACGTTCCTCAGAGACACTTGGCAAATCCTGTTGCTCTGAACTCTTTAATGTCTTGTAAACTTAGCCAGATTTCTACTTCCCTGGTGTACCTTATTCTGTTCCATATTATTTTCTACAACTCATTTTGTTAAGTATAGATATTTCCAGGTTGGACTTTGGATCCAAGTTTTATATCTGTGATGCATATACTGAATCATAATATTTATGTATTTCTAAATCCCAGACTGATTCTCTGATTTCACTGCCTACAAATATTTGATAGATTTTTATCACTTTTAATATCAAGTTGAATAGTATAATCTTTCCAGACAGGGTGCAATAACTAAGGCCTAAGCATCTAAATCTCTCATTTGAAAAATCAGACAATTCTCTGGCTGCAGCCAGGGAGGTGCCTTCTGGAGCAGGGCAATGCTACGACAGGAGTCTTTAGGAGAGGCCTGAGTCCCACTGAGTGGCTGCAGGCACCTCTGAGGGAAACTTGGATCACCGGGGCTGTGATGATATTTGCCATGGTGGATTAGGAACAAGTGTTTCTGTGCTGTCCTGAGGTGAGGTTAGGATATGATGATGATAATGTCTTCATAGAGAAAAGTAGTTGAGGCATGGCTGGTGTGAAAACAGACCACTCAAACAGAAGGTGATGGAGGCCTTTACACCTGCTCTGTGACCTCATGCAGAACAAGGATTTCACTTAACTTTGATGCCAGCTTTACCTGTGACTTTTTAAAAAACCCAGTGACAATAAAGCTGCCCTTTTTTTTTTTTTTTGGTCTTTTTAAAACAGGTCTCACTATGTAGTTCAGGCTGACCTTGAGCTCACTTTGTAGCCCAGACTGGTCTCAAACTCGCAACAATCCTCCTGCTTCAGCCTCCTGAGTGCTGGGATTATAGGCATGCGTTACCACACCCAGTGCTGCTTTGGTTTTTTTCAGTCCAAGCTGATTTTTATGTTTCTGGCATGCGTAGGACTTAATTCTTTCATATCTAATTTCTCCAAACTCTTTTTTCACTTAGGAGTTCATGTCAAACCATGAGCAGTTTCTCCACAGTGAAAGCAGTCAGATGTAATCTTATCCCCAGAATTTGGATGTGTTCTGCACACTTCCAGTGTCTTTCTACAAACCTTGACCATATAATTAGGGATATGGAGTTCTCTTCTCTGAAGGTGTTCAGCAGCATGCACTACATAAGTTTAGGGCTGTACCCAGGGTTGGTATCAGGGAGCCCCAGGACTTTAGGAATAATGGTTACTGCTGTTCAGCCTTTATCTACTCCTCTGAAAAATGGGGAAAATAATGCTTCTATCAGGGCCCTAAAGGAAGATGTGCACAATTCTGAAGGTCTACCACATAACAGTGTATTATAGGACAAGCTTTACTATTAAGCACAGAAATCTCAAACATTAAATCTGAACACACACGTTGATCAATAGATATCAGACCTGAGACAGTCACTCAACTGAAAGCTCCTGAAAGTTGTGATGGATTTAACCAAATCACATCACTCTTTTTCCCTCATATCTTTCTAGTGATTCTTTTTTTTTTTTCCGGTTCTCTTCAACTTTCCAAATTTCACAACTCTGAATCAGATTTGGGATCACTCTCTGAGACATCTAAAAAGTTATTTCTTTTTCATTTTGACCGAATGAAATGGGGGATGTGAGGAGCAAGCTGGTGAATACTCTTTCAGGTTGTCCTGAAAAGGGTGAACAGTTTTATGAAACAGGTTCAGCACTCTGGTGCAAGTGTACCACCCCATCTGCACCCAGTCCACATAGACTAGGCAGGGAAGTGCACTCATCGCAAGCTCAGTTTCCTCAACAGAATAACTTCCTCTTGAGCACAAAGACTAGTAAGGGGATGGCAAAAGGAGATGGAAAATTTTATTATAGCTAACAATGCTGCAGGACTCATAGTGCAGATAAAACTGTAGAATGAAGACAATGGAATTTTCTTGGTATTCTTAAAGCCCTCCTAGCTTTCTGAAATTTTAGGAGGTTCGATGAGCTCCTTATACACAGACCAATCCCAGAGCTGCGTGATGATCCTGACACCAGCACCAGGGCAGAGATGCCCATGCATTTCTTGTGACAGCTGCTGGTCCTCACCTCCTTCATTTTTCTGACCCCAGCGTATACTATTTGTTGGGACAGTGGAAGGCCCATGCTCACAGACATCCTCTCCCCTCTAAGGCAGAGGCAGATTGGAATGTGTGCATCTGAGAAAAATGACGTGGCACAGGTTGGGAAATCAAAGACTGCTCAGGTCCATTCACTGCAGCAGCTGTGGTACAGACGGACTCTGGCCTCATCCTTCCGGAGTGTGTGTGGGCCAGGTCACATTCAGGATTTGCAGAGATCTTGGCTACCACAGGTGACTTCAGTTTTCACAGTTGGCACCCGGTTGGGGAGAAGGAAACCCTCTGCAGAACCTTGCTCCCTCATGTGCTACCTTCCCTCTCCCTCCACAGTTAAGTCATTTGCTTGGCTCAGAACTTGTCTCAGTGTCAGTTAGGGTCTAATCGCTTTAACAGGGTGCATGTGCAGTAAAACGTGCGCAGCTGCCCAAGCTTCTGCATCCGGACTTTCCCAGTTCCCCAGCACTCTTCAGCTTCCCAAAGTTCACAGCAGTGGCTCAGGATGGAGGCCGACTTCTGAGAGAGGGATGAGGCTCTCCCCTTTCCTTCTCCAGTCCTTTAGCACACGCATCTAATAAATGATGACAGACTGGGGACTCTGCTTTCTGAGCAAGTCCCAGCCACGCATTCCGGCAGGTCATATGTCACCTTACTCTCCCTGCGCACACTGGCTGTTCAAGGACTCTGCCATATTTGATTAGTTCATTCCTTGCTTATCAAACAAAATACAGGAGTAGAAAAACAAGATGCAACTACCCTGCCATTCATGAAACCAACCCCACCATGTAAATTTTCATGCACATGTTCATAATTCATCTATATCTAACAATTGCCCATTATTCACCCCCCTGCTAGGAAGGAACCCTTTAGCCCCCGGTGTAAAGGAATGTAAGTAAATGTGGGCACAGGCAGGAGACCAGAGTTGACAAAAGCACTGATTTTCTAGTTGCAAGATCTGCCCTGGGGTCTTCTGGAAGGCAGCTCCTGGCATGCTCTCCCATTTGGTTCCTGCGTCTCTGTCCTCAGTGCTTAGAAGTGCACCTGGCCAGTGAAGTAGCTAAAGTGCTTGTGTCGTGAATGGAAGAGCGGCCTTATATTATATTCATATATATATGGAGAGGGAGAGGGAAAGTGATGTTTCAAAGTTATATAATGCTTCTGCTTGTTTGCTACTCAAGAAATAGGGATCGATTTTTGGGGGTTTCCTCTTTACCTTGTGGTGTGTTATGGTTTGTATCTAGATGTCCTCTCAAAGCCTCATGGGGTCATATGGCTTGTTAGGTGTCTGAATCTAGAGTGTGTGATTGATTCATAGTGCAATGCTAGACTAAGGGTGCTGGGATTAAGGTAGATGATGGCTGGATCCTGTTGAAAGGGGTGATAGGCCCTGCCTACAAGGATCATGTGCTTTCTGACTGCCATGGGATACTGGGGCTCACCAGCAAGGCTGTGAAGAGCCTGTCAGAAGACAAGAAAAGAGTTAGTGCCTGTATGTCATAAATTGTTGAGCTGCCTGTTCAAGGGAGAAAGCTCGGTGAGTTATCAGGAGAGTCACGGGCTGCAATCTGGAGCATCATCTGAAGCCTTGAATGGATACACTTTATTGTCAGGTTGAGGAGACAGAGCCCAAATATGAGAAGGGGCAGGCATCTTAGTTACTTTTCTCCTTGCTGAGACAAAATACCCAACACCCAAATTTAAAGCAGGAAAGCTTTATTTAGCTCACAGTTTGTAGGGGTTTCAGTTTATAATTGACTGGCTCCAAGGCAGGGTGACAGAGGAAAACAGTTCATGGCGGGCATAAGATAGCAAAGCAAGCAAGCCAGCGACTCCAAGCAATCAGTGGCAAACCTCTTTCTGTCCATTACATTATATGCAGGCTACCCACCCTTAGGGCAGGTAGCACTCACACCCTTAGTCCTTGCACATTTGATCCTAGCATTGTACCACATCAATCCCAGCGTCACACATCCTAGATCCAGCCACCTCTGCACCACAGGAGGCTTGAGAGGAGAGGGGGACCTAGACACAAGCCTTAAAAGCAGGCCAGAATATTTCCTGATCTGTTCCAAAAAGTTTCCTAAGACAGATGCAGCAATTAGAGACGTTTTTTTCGCCGTTATTTGGAAGATGTTTCCTGAAGTGTTGTATTTCCATGCTTCCTATGGAGAGGAAAGCATGGTGAAGGGCGATAGTAGATAAACTGCCAGGAGCTGGACAGCCAGATCCCTAGCAAGATTACTCACACTGTGGATGCAAGTAAAAGCAGGAGTCTCAACCCAGAGGCCCAGTTAAGCTGTGGTGGCTCGGGGGTCATTAGTGACTCTGCTTATCTGCACCCGGAGCAACACTGGAGTCTTGCTGCTTGGAGAGGATCCTGCGATCTCCCTGAAGTCACAGGAGTAGCTTTATTCTTTCAGGTGGCCATTTCCATCAATATGTAGCAGATCCCAACAAATATTTCTGACATGTATACTACTGAAATAGAATTCTGAGCCCTGTTTCAAAATAAATTTTAAATAGAGTTCAAATGAGTTAATTACATGAGAAAAATACACCTCACAGAAACTGATATTAGAAAACTAAAGAATCAAATCTTATATTGGATAAATAAATTAAATTTATAAATATAACATTTTGCTAAAATACAAAAATAAAATTATTGACCCAAGAGAATTCATTTATTTAACAAAAAATGCCTGTCTAATGCAATATCTTGAATGTGATTTGAAAAAGAGAATTTTAGAAAATTTCTTTTCAAAAGTGGAATAACTTTGAAATAACCTCCCTGGAGGAACATAATGGAAAGCTATAAAAACCTTTCATAGTTTTTTTCTGTATAGGGAGGGATACTAAATGGGAAAAGGTCATTTGAATTTTCATAAAACCATGACTCACAGTGACCTCTGGACTAATCTGCAGAGCATGTCCACTCTGTGCCTATAACAGCCCTGGTCACCCCGAACACCACCTTCACTAGAACCTTGACAGAGAAGAGGGACAAACCCTGGAGAGGACAGTGATCACACTTTACCCACATGCCACCGTGTGGGGGTCAAACAAGTATCGGCCCTCACTGACACTTTTACAGGATGGACTGAGGCCTTCCCTGCCCATTCAGAAGAGGCTCTGTTGGCAGCCAAGGGGATCCTCACAGAAGTCATTCCCCTGTTTGGACTACCCCAGTCCTTGATTTTTTTTTTTT